AAAAGTGGACAATAAATGGACTCAAGAAGTGATCAACAAATGGACTCAAGAAGTGATCCACAAATGGACTCAAGAAGTGATCCACAAATGGACTCAAGAAGTGATCCACAAATAGACACAAAGACAGCGAATGATTCTTTCGACAGATTTGGTGATGATTTGTGTCAACTATTGTTGTCTTATCTGTCATTCTCTGAGCGGTTCCGATACGAAGAGGTGTCTAAACAGTGGCAAAGAGTGGTATACGAGACACAAACACGTCTTGAAGGGAACAGATATTACTTCGCAAAGAATGCAAAGAGTTTTGAATTTGTGGTCAAAAAGATGAAGAATATCACAGAAATTGAATTTTACGGCAATAATGAAATGCTGGACACAATTACAAGACATTGCCATCGATTGCGTGACATTAGCATCAGTTTTAGTGCTTCCGGTAATCTCAACGTCGAAACATTGGACCCATTTTTCGCAACGTTTGCCAAACAATTGATTTCAATTCGTATTGTTATTCCTCATATGTTTGGAGACATCACTTTTTGGGATGAGTTTGAAACAAATGTAAAATTGTGTGCAAATCTCCAGAAATTACATGTTTTTCAATATAATGCAAGAAAATCCATGCATTTGTTGTGCGGAAGCGATGGAAATATTCCCACATTTGGGAAATTACGTAAAGTTTCACTTTATTATAACGACAAAAACATAGATTTATTCAAACAATTTGTGCAAAACTATAGAAAGAGTTTGAAATCAATTGAATTGTCTGTTAATTCTTTTTTCGATAAGTTGTCATACATTACACTATCGGATGGTTTGTCACAAATGCGTGAATTAATTGAATTCAAATGCAATAATTACTTCTCGACTAATGTTTTAGTGAAACAAATGGGTATTAATTGTCCGAAAGTCCGGAAACTGGATCTTATATTACATTCAAACTCAATACAAATATGCGATGAATTTTTTGCGACAATTAATCGATACTTTAATCAATTAAAACTTTTAGAAATTGGCGGAGAGTTTCCCAATGGCTATAGTGTAAGAAGTGTTGCATTGATTGAATGCAAACGATTAACACATTTATCGTGTTTACCCACAAATCAATTGTTTTTCGATAATATCCATCAAAATTACCCAAATCTCCGGTCTATTCGCTGTTTCCTTAGGGATAAAGTGAGTGATAATGTGTTGAATTCATTGTCAAAATTACCACAAATACAGACCATTACTATCATCGGAGAGAAAGACTATAAACAAACGACTGTCGAGAAAATGTTGAAAATATGTCTTAAAATTGTCTCAATTAAAATTAGTAATTAATTAATAAATAAATGAATTATTTTATTACATTTAATGTCAAAATGTCATTATTACTGTTTTTGAATACAATTAAAATTGATCACTATTTATGCAAAAATTGTAAGCCATTATAAACTCAAATAAATACACACAAAACGAAATGGTTTTATTTTTTCAAACTTATAAATATCAATGTCTGGTCTAATTGTATGTCGCATACAGTGATCGCCACAACAGTATGCGTGGGTTGTAGTGAAGAGTCGGTGCGATTCACACAGACTACAAGCCATCAAACGATCACTCATTTATGTCTATTGAATATTGTGTTTAAATTTAGCGCACATTTTAGTCATCAATGATTGCATTGAATGTGAAGTGAATGACAATAATAATGATAAGAGTGTTAACTGAGTGTTGAATACAGGCTTTGACTGTATTAACAGTTAACACACTTTTCATACAATTTCTTGCATTATAATGACGTATATTTGATTGGTTGCCAACACTTACTAAAATATGAAGTGATGTAATCATTGTTTTGTCAGACATTTAATTCATTCAACACTTGTTTTCATTGATTTTAAATACAATTATTTAATTAAATAAATGTTTAATTAATTATTTTAATAAATTGAAAAGTATTTATAGTTTTTGTGCTAAAAATGACTACAATTTGACGATTGGTTTGAAATGTTTGGTAATTATGAATGCAATCAACGCTTACATCAAATCATGTGTTCATTTGTTTCAGTCATTCATTGAATTAGACTTTTGTTGAATAAAGTGATCCAAAAATGTCCGCAAAAAGTGATCGACAAATGGATAGACAGACAACTCGTGTCCTCAGGAGTGACACAAAGAGGCAACGAATGGATACAAAAGCATCGAAAGACTCTTTGGCCAGAAGTAGTCGTGTCCTCACGAGTCACACAAAGAGTAGACAAACATTTGTTTCGTCAGCGAAAGACTCTTTCGACAGATTTGGTGATGATTTGTGTCAACTATTGTTGTCTTATCTGTTACTCGAAGAGCGGTTCCGATACGAAGAGGTGTCCAAACAGTGGCAGAGAGTTATATATGAGACACAAACATGTTTTGATACAATTGAGTACAGAATTGGGAACCAAATGAATGCCAAGACATTGAAATTTATGGTCAAAAAGTTGCCAAATATTACAAGAATTCGTTTCGGAGGCGATAGCCATATGTTGGACACAATCACAAGACATTGCCATCGATTGCGTGATATTGTAATCAATACTAGTTATCAGATAGACATCAAAACATTTGAGAGGTTTTGTGCAAAGTTTGCCAAACAATTGAATTCAATTCAAATATTCATATTTTCATTCCAAGACATCTCTAACTCTTATGTCTTAAAATTCATGCGTTTGTTGTCTGAAAGCGACGCAAATATTCGCACATTTGGGAAATTACGCAAAGTTTCTCTCATTTATGACTACAAAGATTTGGATTTATTCAAACAATTTGTGCAAAACTATAGAAAGTGTTTGAAATCAATTCAGTTGTCTATTAAACCTTTTTGCGATAATTCATCACTCAATAGACTATCGGATGGTTTGTCACAAATGAGTGAATTAATTGAATTGAAATGCAGTTTAAAACGTGAAACTATTTATCAGTTTTTCTCCTTAAGTGTCATTCATTTGAAACAAATCGGTATTAATTGTCCGAAAGTCCGGAAACTGGATCTTTGGGTTGATTTTAATGTAAACGAAACTCGCGATCAATTGTTTGCCACAATTAATCAATACTTTAAACAATTAAAACGTTTGGAAATCAATGGCTGTTATCCACGAGAATTTGTTATGAAAAGCGATGCATTGATTTCATGCAAACAATTAACACATTTATCAAAAATACCGACAAATGAATTGTTTTTCAATGATATCCATCAAAATTATCCTAAACTTCAGTTTATAAGCTGTTATGTTAGGCATAGAGTGACTGATAATGTGTTGAATTCGTTGTCATTATTATCACAAATACAGACCATTTCTCTCTTTGGTGGTAAAGATTACAATCCAACGACTGTCGAGAAAATGTTGAAAATGTGTCCCAAAATTATCTCAATTAAACTGAAGTGAAATAATTTAATTGTTGTAATATTTAATATTTTCAAACTCCAAATTATAATTGATTTATTATAATAATAATAATTATGATTATTAGTTACATTAATCCATTGTATTCTCTATCCTATTGTAATTCAGTATATTTCTATTTTGTATAACTTTTTCATAGTTGTCTCAAATGTTGCTAATTATCTGTTTGTATAAGAATTCAAATATTGTTTTTTGTAAAACATTAATTTGTAAAACAATTTATAATAAATATTTATCACATTTTGTAAAATAAATGACATTTTTTTGGGAACAAATAGATATTTTTTATAATAATTTTGGGTGTTTTGTGTTCGTAGTTATAGTTTCAATTAATTGTTATACATCATATTTGGTATTAATTATGATTTATAGTTTACGAAATTATAGAAAATTAATTATTAATTATTTTACTTTTTAAATTTTATTCTAATCTAAATTGTAATTAATGCAAACATTTTATTATTATAAGTAATCAATAATTACAACTTTAATCATGCTTATCATTATATTTTGTGTTCAATACAATTTGTGCTCTGTATTGTAGACAAGGATATATTCATAACACAATAATTACAAATAATTCAATCATTTACTGCTTGAAAGTCCGGCATTTACTGTAAGTCTGCAAAGAAAATGCATTTGAATTTTAATATCCAAATCATTGAAAGCCGTTGTTTTGGACACCACTTCAAAATGTTTGACCGCATAATTGAAACAAATGTCCTGAAGTTCTAATACCGAGTGTTTAACAGCCGACCCGTATATAAGGGCCACGTTTTCAATGGTAATACCTGTACGTAAGAGTTGAATACACTTTCGCTTGAGGTCTGTCTCGGCGTAAGTGTCGGCCAAACCTAATAATTCGACCGCAATATCCGGCGCCACAAACACATCGTTGGTATACAGATATCGCAAAAATGCTTTGAATGCCTCATAAGAATATTCTGTAATCTATATTAGAAATTAAAATGATTTGTGTATTTATTTTGGTAATAGATAAATATAAAACTGACCACAACTTCGGTTTGATTAGTATTTAACAAATGTATCATTGGTTCCATACTTTTGCAGCGTATAATCAAATACTCTTTGATGACATGAATGGGCTGTCCGTCGATCACAAACTGGAAATTAGATGATATGGTATTGTCGAAGGCGTCGGACATACTATTGAGCACCGGGTGATCATTGGAGAGATTTATTGCTAACGAGCGATACGTTGCGTGTGTTTTGGCAAACAGTCCAAAGACATCATATATTGAGCCAATATTCATAACAACTAATTGTATTTAAATTTAGTGTATTATAAATGATTTAATACTGTTTAATGTAAAAATATATTAATTACCGGTTGGTGTGAGTAAATCGCCAAATGGTTGCCGACATTCGCCCCAAACATATAACACTCCATTCGCGGTAACGGCCGCTGATATTGTGCTATCTATATGTGAAACTATGTCTACAATAGTACCATGGTGATTTATGGTTTTTAATTTGTATGGAGAACTTCTATTAGTTTTATCGCCGGTTCCCAATTGACCATTACCATTACAACCGCACGTATAGACATTACCCTCATTGGATAGAAACATTGTATGGCACTTTCCAGCGGCAACCTTTGTCACTTTTAGGTCATTGAAATATTGAATCCGAACGGGTAATGATTGTTTAATTGTGTGACCCAAACCCAACTGACCATTTCCATTTAAACCCCTTTTATTATATAAACAATAAAAATGAGTTCTTAATTGTAAATCAATACTCTCTGCCATACCATCCAAACACACTCCCGGTGTCCGTAACGGCCAGTGAATGATTTCCACCGCAGGCAATGGATATCACGCGACATCCGGTCAGACCTCCGACCACTTTAATAGGCTTATATTGATTAATGGTATTGCCATTCCCCAATTGCCCTATGTCATTATAACCCCAGGCGTACACACGGCCGGCATCGGTCAGCGCCAGTGTGTGGTGTAAACCGCATTCAATGTCAACAATGTTTTCATTATTCAAATCGAGAGATAGTTTGATGGGATGAGGCGATGAATCGCTGTCTCCCAACTGTAATCATAATAAAATTACTTTTGATCATGTTTAATAGGGTTGATGTTTTTAGGACAAAACAATTGTACCATTATTATATAATTATCATCAGCGTATGCAACGTCCTGTACTGGATCTGTTTGATGATTACTCCAAGTGTACACTTCACCCTCGGAAGTGAGTGCACACAAGTACTTAAAACCGGCGCTGATTTTGATGACATCTTTTGCACTTAATTCACACAATTCAGTCATTTCTGTAATATTATTGCCATTCATATGAAAGACCACATCATCTTTGGTCACAACAATCACTTCATTTCCTGTTTCTCCGTATATAATGAATGAATGGATGTTATGAACAAATTCTTCACTCATTTGACAGAATACAAGCCATTTGTCTAATGAACTGATTTTATGTAGTCTCTCAACTGATCCCAGATCTTCAGTTGTAGTCATTTTTGTAGTGTTTTGTTTCTAAAAAAAGTAATAAATAATTTGTCTAAATATAAAGTATAGAATAAATTAATCATATCATACATAACGAAAATTTTATAATTGTTATATAAAATACATATGATTTATTTTTATGTCGCTTTAGACAGGATTAACATGATTGAACATATTAAAATACATATTACATAAAAGTATTAAAATTTGTCAAACAACAAAAGTACCAAACAATATACATTTGTGGTGGTGTGTGTAGAATGATGATGTTTGTTTTTACGACAATTATTGTAGAATAATATGAAGTGGTGTACAAACTATAAAAGCACTGTTTGAGCAAAGGCTTTGATGAAATATTAATATTACAAGGTTTTATTGAAAGTCACATAATCATTTATTAATAAATATGTTTTCCTGTTATATTTAAGGCAACTAATATAATTGACAATTTAAATTTCCAACAATATTTATAAAAAATTATTGTAAAATATATGGTATAAGTCCTGGATAAAATTTTCACAATTAGTTTATGAAATATTTTCTGTAACCGTTAGCTGTTTAAGGCTTCGAGCACCGGGTGGTCGACGCCATCGCTCACATCAATCGAGTAATAAGTGGCCGGAGTTTTGGCATACAATCCAATTATATCATGTATTGAGTCAACGCCCGTCACGACTAGATTTGATATAAATTACAATAAATCACTGATAAATCAATTCAACCAAAAGTTTTAATTAATAAAATTGTCATTTAATTACCTGTAGGACTGAGTAGAGTGCCCAATGGTTTTCTACATTTACCCCAAACAAAGTGACCGCCATTTGCCGTAACGGCGGCCGAAATATTGTTGAATTTTTGAGCAACAATATCAACAAATGGACCATGCTTGATTAGAGGGTTATATGGCGTTCCCTGTTCATCGAAACTACCTGTGCCCAATTGAGCATAATCATTAGAACCAAACGCGTACACATTGCCATCAGCTGAGAGCAGCAAAGTATGATGATTTCCAGTAACCACCTTGTTCACTTTGATGTCATTGAAGTAAGGATTTTGAACCGGTATTAATTGGTCTGTTTTGTGACCCAAACCCAACTGATTGCTCTGATTATAACCCCTTGTATAAGAAAAACAATGTAAATTAATTAATAAATACCATAATAATTAATAATAAGTTTCATTCGCTTACCAGACAAACACACGGCCGGAGTCCGTAACGGCCACCGAATGGTGATAACCGCAGGCAATGCCCGACAGGTGTTGGCCCTCCAGACCCATCACTTTAATAGGCGGTGACTGGCCATCGATGTCGCCGTTACCTAACTTACGACTACAGCCCCAGCCGTACACCTGTCCCGCATTGGTCACCACAAGTGTATAACACTGTCCACACTCTATGTCCACAACCTTTTCGTTATTCAAATCTAAGTCTAGTTTTACGGGCTTTTCAGACGAATGCTTAGATTCAGGTCCGGTTCCCAACTATTATCATGATATAAATTATTATATTTTCATATGAACATGGTTATTTATACACTTGTTCAATACAGTATTAAAAGTTTATTACATACCTGACCGCAGCTGTTCTCACCCCAGACGTACACATCACCGGACGATGTGAGGGCACAGACATGACTTTCTCCGGCAACGATTTTGATGACATCCTTTCCACTCAATTCAGACAATTCTGTCATTTTTGAGACATTATTGACATTCATATGAAAGACCACATCATCTTTGGTCACAACAATCACTTCATTTCCTGTCTCTCCGTATATTATAAATGAACGGATGTTATGAACCAACGATCGGATGTTATTAACAAACTCTTCGTTCGTGGGATTAAATACCGGCCATTTGTTTAATGGACTGGTTTTATGTTGTCTCTCAACTGATCCCAAGTTTTCAGTTTTGGCCATTTTTGTGATCTCTCGTTGAATTTAAATTATATTTTCAACTCTAATGTTAAGATTATTTAACGAAATGCCAAATAAATGAATGTTTATATACAGTAGTGAAATATATTACATGAAAATATGTTTCTAAATGCAAGTGAAATAAGGTGATTAAAATGATAATACATGTATTATAACGACCCGGTATTTTGCAATGTCATTATACTGTATTTATAAGTCATTGAAAAAACTTTAAGATTATTTTATTAGATATTTATTAAATCAATGTTAGTGTTGATATAAATTACATTACTGTTTATTAAATGAAAATATTTTATAAATAGAAACATTTAGATAACTTAAATGATAATAAAAATACAGATGGTAATTCTGTTTGCTATACTAACTAAACGCTTAATAAACGTTTATAAATGTTTGTAAATAACTTATTTATCAGACATTTCTTAGAATCAACACATTATGCAAAAGTAATTTATATAACATTTCTAAATAGAGTTTACTGTTTCATAATATGCTGACAATGAGTGCAGCAAATAGTAAAAATATTTTTATTAAATGTAATGATCATCATTATTGTTATACATTATAATTAATATAATTGAACAAAGAATAACATTATTAACGTAAATAGAAATGTTATAAGTTTAAAATATTGGGTAATTTGGATATTGTAAAAAAATTGATAGTTTAACGTATTTTCAATTCAATCATTGTAAATAGACAAAAAACTTACATCTAGATTATAAATATTATAACAATTAAAATATTTTATAAATTTTAGTTATAGCGATTAAAACACTATCGAAAAGATATTATATATGCATTGATACATTGTATATTTCTATTGAATTAGTGACCAAAAGCCCCCTTTAGTGATGCCTTACGGATGAAATCCTTGTAAATATCAATATCCAGAGCATTGAAAGCACTTGTTTTGGACACATCTTTAAAGTGTTTGACCGCATAATTGAAACAAATGTCCTGAAGTGCGGACACCGAGTATTTAACAGACGCCCCGTATATATGGGCCACGTTTTCAACGGTAATGCCTTTACATATAAGTCGAGTACACTTTGTCTTGAGGTCTGTCTCGGCGTAAGTGTCGGCCAAACCTAATAACTCGACCGCAATATCCGGCGCCACAAACACATCGTTGGTATACAGATATCGCAGAAATGCTTTGAATACTTCATAAGAATATTCAGTAATCTATATATAAAATAACTTTCAAGTTTTTTTAATGCAAAAATAAATAACTAAAACTAACTTCAATTTCTGGTTGATTGGTATCCAACACAGGTCTCAGGCTTTTACACCGTATAATCAAATAGTCTTTGTGGACATGTATGGGGTGGCCGTCGATCACAAACTTGAAGTTACCGGTTATGGGATCGTCGAAAGCATGAGATAGACTGTCGAGTACCGGGTGGTCGTCGGCGACAATCACTGATATTGAGCGATACGTTGCGTATGTTTTGGCAAACATTCCAAAGACATCATATATTGAACCAAAACTCGTAACAACTTTTTATTATAAATTAAAATTTGCATTAAATAGACTAAAATTAAACTAAAAATGTCTCATATTTTAAATACAATTGAATTATTTTTTAAAACAATTACCGGTAGGTGTGAGCAAATTGCCCACCGGTTGCCGACATTCGCCCCAAACATATAGCACTCTATTCGCTGTTACGGCAGCTGAAATATTATTAGTAATTTGTGTAGCTATGTCTACAATAAGACCATGTTGGTTTATAGTGCTTAATTTGTATAGCGAACATCTGTTATCCTTATCCCAGGTTCCTAATTGCCCATCATCATTACGTCCACACGTATAAACATTACCATCATCAGATAAAATTATTGTATGATGAGCGCCAGCCACCACCTTGGTCGCTTTGATTTCATTGTAGTATTGAATTTGAGCAGGTAATAATTGGTTGCTCTCATGACCTAAACCCAATTGACCATATTTATTGGAACCCCTGATTTAATTAGATTACTAAATAAATGTTTATAATACAGCAAACACTTACCATCCAAACACACTCCCGGTGTCCGTAACGGCCAGCGAATGTTTTTTGCCGCAAGAAATTGATGTCACGTGACATGAAATAAGACAACCTTTGACTCGTTTAAATTTAATTTGTTTATCACCATCATTTAATTGATCCTTTAGATTACCGCCAACAGCATATAAATGACCTGCGTCTGTTAGAAGTACAATGTACAATTTGCCGCAATTGATGTCCACAATCTTTTCATTATTAAAATCTAGAGAAATTTTTGACGGATTATGCGATTGGTTACCAGCAATTTTATTTTCACTATCAGTATCATCACTGCTATCATTAGTATTATCACTGCTTTCACCGCCATCTGTATCATCTAGGTCAGTTTCTTCAATAAGATTTTCGGTTTTAGCAATACTAGATGATTGATCTTGATTACGATTAATAGTTTCATCTGTATTATCATCATTTTCCGTTTTGGTATCAGGTTCAGATTTGGTTTCCTTAAAATATTAAATAAATGCCATAGCACATTTCAATAAATTAGTAACTATTAATTACATAACTAACCATTGATTTATTTATTTAATATATATATTTATTTAATATATATATTTTTTAATAGTATTAATTACTTATTTAAACTAATAAGTTAAATACATTTTAATACGTTTGGTTAAGCATTTTAATAAAGATAGATCAAAATTAATAAAGTATATTATATAATGAAGAAAAGCTATAATCAATATTGTTAAGTCTAGTTTGGATGTTAAATGAAATTGTTGTCAAGCATGTTAACTATGGTAATTGAAATGGAATTATTTATTTAATAATTACCTTTAGTAATAGACAGAAAATTTTGATCAAAAGAGCTAATGATTCTGATTTTTCTTTCTTTTCATCGTAGGTCCAGAAATACACATCACTGCCGGATGTGAGGGCACAGACATGACTCTCTCCGGCAACGATTTTGATGACACCCTTTGCACTCAATTCAGACAATTCAGTCATTTGTGTGATATTATTGACATTCATATGAAAGACCACATCATCTTTGGTCACAACAATCATTTCATTTCCTGTCTCTCCGTATATAATGAATGAATGGATGTTTTGCACAAACTCTTCACTCATTATAGAAAATAAGGGCCATTTGTCTAATGATATTAATTGCTGTCTTCTCTCAACTGATCCAAATTCTTCATTTGCGGCCATTTTTACTGTGTTTTTAAAAAAAATTTTTTTAGGAATTTATTAAAATTAGTAATTAAATAAATAATATATTAGTCCTACAAATCAATAACCTACGTTATATTATAATAATTATTAGATATATTTATTATGTATTGAAATATATTTGTATAACAAATTTTTTCAGAATTTTTACTTCAGAGTTACAGAAATGATAACTTATTTATTGTTATTTAATTTGTTTCATACGTTAAACACTGTTTAATAATATTTTGCGTCTTATTTTAAAAACATTGATAAACAAATTATCAAATTTCAAAATCACATATTTTATCTAGAGTAAAGTTCACATGGTTGTTATCAATAATTAATAAGTTATTAATAATAACTAAGAATTAATGTACTGTAATAACATACAAATGTAAAATGTAAAAAGAAACATACAATAAACGCGTTACACATTTGAATGAAAATGTAAATTTACATAAAATTCTTACTTTTGCTTAATCGTTTTGATTCTCTCTCTCTCTCTCTCTCTCTCTCTCTCTCTCTCTCTCTCATAATAAATGAAAATACTTTAATTTCTACCACATTAAAATTTATAGAATTTGTAATTTTTATTTATTATCTAAATTTACAATTCATGAAATTTTTGTATTACAGTTTGTATTAATTAAATGAACGACTAAAAGCCCCCTTCAATGTAGCTTTACGTATAAAATCTTTATGAATTTTAGTATCAAGGTCATAGAAAGTGTCTGTTTTGAACACCTCTTCGATGTGTTTCACCAAATAATTGAAGCAAATTTCCTGCAGTTCTGACACACAGTGTTTGTTCGCCGCGCCGTATATTAGGGACACGTTTTCAACGGTAATGCCATTAGTTATAAGTAAAGTACACTTTCGCTTGAAGTCTGTCTCGGCGTAAGTGTCGGCCAAACCCAATAACTCGACCCCAATATCCGGCGCCACAAACACATCGTTGGTATACAGATATCGCAGGAAAGCCTTGAATGCCTCATAAGAATAGTCTGATATCTATAAATACAAATAATAATTAAAATTAAAGTAATTTAAAAATTATAATTTAATTAAATTAAAAAACTAACCTCTCTTTCTGCGCTATCGGTGTCTAACAAAGGTCTGAGTCGTTCGCACTGTATAATCAAATACTCTCTGTGGACATGTATGGGGTGGCCATCGATCACGAACTTAAAAGTAAAGTTATCGGGATTGTCAAAAGCTTGAGCCATACTGTTGAGCACCGGGTGACTGGCCTTAATAGTCAGTGGTATCGAGCGATACGTTGAGTGTATTTTAGAAAACAATCCAAAAACATCATATATTGAGCCAAAACTCATAATAACTAATTTGGTTTAAATTAAATTAATTATATATTAATTGTTTGCCAAAATATATGAGTAAATAAACGATTGCTATTACCGGTAGGTGTAAGCAAATCGCCCACCGGTTCCCGACATTCGCCCCAAACATATAGCACTCCATTAGCCGTAACGGCCGCTGAAATATGGCCATTCATTTGCGACGCTACATCTACAATAGGACCATGGTGATTGATGGTGTTTAACTTGAATAGAGCACACCGTTTATCCTTATCACCCGTACCTAATTGACCATGACTATTATCACCGCATGTTTAGACATTACCTTCATTTGATAGAATGATTGTATGATTTGTCCCAGCGGCGACCTTGGTCACTTTGATTTCATTAAAGTGTTGAATCTGAACGGGCAATGATTGGTTGTTTTCATGACCTAACCCCAGTTGCCCTTGTTCATTACAACCCCTTTGAAAATGAGAAAGGTAGAATTAATTAAAATTTGAAAACAAATACTCTCTGTCCATACCATCCAAACACACTCCCGGTGTCCGTAACGGCCAGTGAATGCGCTCCACCGCAAACAATGGATGTCACGCGACATCCATCGAGACATCCCATTACTTTAATAGGTATGGATTGATCAGTGGTATTGTCATTGCCCAATTGACCATGGCCATTATGACCCCAAACGTACACATGGCCGGCATCTGTCAACGCCATCGTATGCAATGGCCCGCAATCGATGTCAACAATCTTTTCATTATTCAAATCGAGGGCTAATTTTAACGCATGGGGAGAGGGATCGGTATTTCCGGTTCCCAACTGTAATAGTAGTTAATTTTTAATTTACTACAAAAGGATAAATGTTTACTCAATTAGACTCTAAATAGTACTTGTGTTATCATGATTATTTATTTATAAAAATGGAAAACATTTAAAATTTAATATATTTAATATAGAAAATCTGTCAAAGTTTAATTAAATTAACATTCCATAAATGTAACTAGTATATGCTAATTCAAACATGGTTGTTTATTAAAATTTGCAGAATTTAGGAAATTATTTTAACAAATAATAAAAACAGATGATACCTGAGATTGTGTGTTATCGCCCCAAACATACACATCACCGCCTAATGTGAGACCACATAAGTGTTTAGCACCCGAACTGATTTTGATGACACTTTTTCCTTCAATTCAGACAATTCAGTCATTTCTGTGATGTTATTGACAGCCGTATGAAAGACCACATCATCTTTGGTCACAACAATCACTTCATTTCCTGTCTCTCCGTATATAATGAATGAACGGATGTTATGAACAAACTCTTCGTTCATAACATAAAATACGGGCCATTTGTCTAAAGACACCAATTTTTGTTGTCTTTTAACTGATCCCAAGTTTTCATTTGCGGTCATTTTATGATCTCTTTGTCTAAAATAATACTTTTAAAATACAGTATAAAAATAATGTTCATATAAATACTCGATATGTTATCAATCCTTTGTTTAATGCAAAAATATTCAGTATTTTAGTGTCAAAATGTAATAATTTTTATGATATAATTTTTAAGATAAAATATTGCATTCATTAAATACAACACTCGAACACTATTTAAATAATCTCAGTTAACCATGGTAACTAATAACATAGCAATTTATATTTTAATTTGGTGTAGTTTATTTACCATGTCTAATTATAAGTTTAATCGTGTTATAAAAAATTTATATAAATTAATAAACAGATTGTCTAAAAATATGAATATTTATTTTTAATTTAAATAATATTAATATAAAGTTTAAATATGCCATAATCAAATATAGCAATACAGTTTATTGTTTGATAAGAGAGAGAGAGAGAGAGAGAGAGAGAGAGAGAGAGAGATTATAATAAGGGAATTTTATTGTAATACGGGGCTGACAAATTTATAATTAATTAATAAACAAACTGCAGTACACTTTAAATCCGAATATTTGCTGTATGTTTGGTGAGAAACTCCATACGAATATTAATATCAAGATCTTTGTAAGTGTCTGTTTTGGACACCTTTTCAAAGTGTTTCATAACATATTTGAAACATATATCCTGGAGGGCCGGCACCCGGTGTTCAACAGACGCCCCGTATATTTTAGCCACGTTTTCAAAGGTAATATTATTACGTAAAAGTCGAGTACACTTTCGCTTGAGGTCTGTCTCGCCGTAAGTGTCGGCCAAACCTAATAACTCGATCCATATCTGGATCCCAATATCCGGCGCCACAAACACATCGTTGGTATATAGATATCGCAGAAATGCTTTGAATGCCTCATAAGAATTGTCTGTTATCTATAAATACAAATAATAAATAAAATAAAATACATTTTTATAACCCCTAAAAACTAACCACTCGTTCAGTTTGATTTGTGTCTAACAGTTGTGTGAGTCGTTCGCACCGTATAATCAAATACTCTCTGTGGACATGTATGGGGTGGCCGTCGATCACAAACTGGAAACTACTGGTTATGTGATTATCGAAAGCTTGTGTCAGACTGTCCAGTACCGGGTGCTCATCATCGTCCTCGTCGTCGCTCTCGTCGTTGCTCTCGTCCTCTTCCGCGTCATCCTCTTCCTCGTCGTCCTCTTCGTCGTCGACAGGTGTGGATACAAACCGATAGTTTGCGTGCGTTTTGTCAAACAATGCAAAGACATCACATATGGAGCCAAAACTCATAACTAATTTAACATAAATGTAGAAATTTTTAAAAAAATGTTTTAAAATAGATTTTAGTTAAAGTATTTCTAAACAATTACCGGTAGGAGTGAGCAAATCGCCAAACGGTTGCCGACATTCGCCCCAAACATATGGCACTCCATTAGCCGTAACGGCAGCTGAAATGTTGCTATTTATATGCGACGCGATGTCTACAACATGACCATGCTCGTTTATGGTTATTAATTTGGATGGTTTACTTCTTTCATCTGTATCACCCAATCCTAATTGCCCATGTCCGTTATCGCCGCACGTATAGACACGACCATCATCTAATAAAATTATGGTATGGTACATTCCAGCAGCAACCTTGGCCACTTTGATATTCTTGAAATATCGAATTTTAATTGGCACAACTTGCTCTTCATTGTGACCCAAACCCAACTGACCAAAATCATTATCACCCCTTCATTATAGACATTAAACATTAATTTAATACAAACATTACACAAATATAAACTAATTTAATTAAATTTTAATCGCAAACAATACTCTCTGCCATACCATCCAAACACACTCCCGGTGTCCGTAACGGCCAGTGAATGATATCCGCCGCAAACTAAGGATGTGACGCGCAGTCCATCGAGACATGCCTTCACTTTAGTGGGTTTTGATTGGTTAGTAATGTTGTCGTTACCCAATTGATAATTATCATTACTACCCCAGGCGTACACATAGCCGGCATCGGTCAGCACGAGATTGTGACTACGGCCGCATTTAATGTCAACAATCTTTTCATTATGACATTTGATGGTTAGTTTTAATGGACGACGAGTTGACTCAATAGTGTCGGTGCCTAACTGTATAAACAATCACAACATATATTATATTAGATTTTAAATTACCAAAATGTCAAAATAAAATTAAATAATTTATTATTATATGTGGTCTACCAGGTTACTCTACCATATATTCAAGATTGCCATAAATTAGGGAAAAAGTAGTTTTACTATGACGTGGTTATTATAATATTGGCATCTAAGGCCAATACATGGCATACTAGCATATATTGTATTGTAAATAACGTACCTAAGCAATTATTACAGGTATTTTCATATTAGACTTTTAAAATTTTAATATGAAGTGATTTTCTACTTGTGATAAGTAATGCATACAATTGGTGATGTTATATAAATACAGAATTATATGAATACCTGATAATATTCGTTGTCACCCCAGGCGTACACATCACCGGCAGATGTGAGGGCACAGACATGACTCACTCCGGCACTGATTTTGATGATATCCTTTTCCCTCAATTTTTTCAATTCAGTCATTTGTGTGATATTATTGACATTCATATGAAAGACCACATCATCTTTGGTCACAACAATCACTTCATTTCCTTTCTTTCCGTATATAATAAATGAATGGATGTTATGAACAAACTCTTTGTTCATTAGACGAAATACCGGCCATTTATCTAATGAACTGATTCTCTGTTGTCTCGCAATTGATTCCAAGTCCTCATTTGTGGCCATTTTATGATCTCTTTGTTTAATGTTTAAAACACGATAATTATTTTTACATAAAGTAAATATTCATTTTATTACTTATGTTAAAACAGCAAAATATACAGTATTTAGTTTAAAATGTGATAAATATAATGATAATACTCCTTATGACAAATTATTACATTTATTAAACTAACTAAATCGCAACCCTTTAAATAATCTTAATAAATCAAGGTTAATAATAAATCATACATTAGATATACTCTAATATTTCATACATATTTATTTACATTTAATAGTTTTTAGAAATTAACATAAACATCTAGGAATATCATTTTCAAAAATACATGTTATGTTATACAGTAAGTGGTGTATTATTTCTATGAATAATGTTTTGCATAATTATTATCAATTTTATTTGAGACCGATTATAATAGTGTAGAGAGCGTAAATTTAAGTATAAACAAATTTATGTTTAATTATAAGTTCTCAGAATTTATTGTGAATTGTTTTGAGTTAAGGGTTGACTTCCTTTCAATATTGAAATTATTATGGAATGTTATGTTAAAATAATGTTCTAGTTATAAAATGTTTACGTATGTATTTCCTATTAAATTGGTATATAAGTCATTGATTACTTGTATTAATTATCTATCACTTGTCTGTTGCCAACTATTGTAAAAGTCTTGATATTTATTAAATATATTTGTGTGAAATAAAAACCAGGTTATACTAAATTAGTGTCCATAAGATTCCGATCTCTAATGATACGGCCTTTCGGCCCGATTCCTACAATAGTATTAAAACGGGTTAATAATAAAGGGCCAAAACAGCCACTTTAGCAATGGACGGGTGGGTCAATAAGTGCTGTTCGATCTCTACGGGAGATATATTAATAAAGTGTTGACCACTATGAGCACCACTTTTTTTCACTCTACCCGTAATGAATATACATTCCTTGTCGTCGTAGTACCCGATATCGCTCAATGCCTTTATACTCCCATAGAAAATACATTATAATTTTGCCCGCATTTGCACTACGTTGAATAGGAGTATTTTAACAATTTAATGTAATAAATTATAATTTCTTGTGATCATCGGTTAGAACTGATCGAATGTTTGACATGTTATATGACCGGGAAATATGGTAAAATTATGTTATCATAAAATGATAGCCACCGGCGCAGCAAACGTTATAATAGATTATTATATTTAACCTCTCATAGACTCTATGACATAAAGGTATAATTATTATAACATGAATATAATTTTTACGCCAATTTCAAAATTGTTTTCTTCTGCTAAAAATTTCGCAATTTTATATATAAAAAATCAAAAATAGAATAATAGTAAATAAAATAATTATTTTAAAAATGAATATTTATAAAAATATTAATTTTTTAAATATAAAAACAATGTACAAAATTAAAAAATTCAACATAAGTTGTAATTATAATGAACTTACAGTTCATGTAATAAAATTCATGAAACCAACATTTGTTATATTGGTATACAAATCAACATTCAATATACTTAACGACTAAAAGCCCCTTTTAATGATGCCTTACGGATGAAATCCTTATAAATATCAATATCCAGATCATTAAAAGTGTCTGTTTTGGACACATTTTCAAAGTTTTTCACCGCATATTTGAAACATATATCCTGAAGTGTCGGCTCCTTGTACTTAACGGCCGCCCCGTATATTAGAGCCACGTTTTCAACGGTTATGCCATTTCTTATAAGTTGAGTACACTTTCGCTTGAGGTCTGTCTCGGCGTAAGTGTTGGCCAAACCCAATAACTCGACCGCAATATCCGGCGCCACAAACACATCGTTGGTATACAGATATCGCAAGAAAGCCTTGAATGCCTCATAAGAATAGTCTGTAATCTATAAATAATATTATAAATTAAAATGTCGTATATATTTGTTAAAGTATAATAAATAATAGTAAAACTGACCACAACTTCGGTTTGATTGGTGTCTAACAAACATATCATTGGTTCCATACTTTTGCAGCGAATAATCAAATACTCTTTGATGACATGAATGGGCTGTCCGTCGATCACAAACCGGAAATTAGATGATATGGTATTGTCGAAGGCGTCGGTCATACTGTTGAGCACCGGGTGGTTATCGTCGGCGGTATTCATTGGTATCGAGCGATAAGTTGTCTGTGTTTTGCCATAAACTCCAAAGACATCATATATTGAATCAAAATTTAAAACAACTAATTCGGTAGAAATTTTTTAAATTATAAATCATTGTCAAAATATATTTAATTTATAAATTATTAAACAATTACAAATAGGATTTAACAAATCTCCGATCGGTTGCCGACATTCGCCCCATAAATACAGCACTCCATTAGCCGTAACGGCCGCTGATATATAGCTGTTTATGTGTGAAACCACATCTACAATAGGACCATGGTGATTGATGTTCACTTTGAATGGAGAACTTCTATCAGTCTTATCATTAGTTCCTAATTGACCATGATCATTGTATCCAAATGTGTAAACACTGCCATCGGATAATAATAATATTGTATGACGAATCCCAGCACAAACTTTGGCTACTCTCATGTCTTTGAAATATTTAATCTGAACGGGTTCAGATTTATAAGTTGTGTTACTCATCCCCAACTGACCCTGTCCACCGTAACCCCTATTATTAGGAAAGTAATAAAACTGAAATGTTTTGAGTTGTAATTGTAAATCAATACTCTCTGCCATACCATCCAAACACACTCCCGGTGTCCGTAACGGCCAGTGAATGATATCCACCGCAAACAATGGATGTCACGTGATATTTCTCCAGAACTCCTATCACTTTAATATGTGTCGATTGATTACGAAAATTGCCATTTCCTAATTGACCATGGCCATTATAACCCCAGGCGTACACATGTCCGGCATCGGTCAGCGCCAGAGTGTGCCGTAAACCACATTCAATGTCAACAATCTTTTCATTATTCAAATTGAATGACATTTTCAACGGAATTGGAGATGAAGTCGTATTTCCGGTTCCCAACTGTACTCATAATATAAATTTTCATACGTTTAATAAGATTATTTATGTTAATATTATATCTACTATCATAACATTATAATTTATTGTATTTTACTGTGTTACGATCCGAGCGGTCAGTTTGTTGACTAAACGGGGATCGGGATTATGCGGAACCGGCCGCTGTCTATCCCCGAGACGTTACGGTCAAATAGACACACATTTACCGAAGATAACAACATTTATTCTGTAATTGTATGAATGTGTGAATGAGTGATAGACCCGATGCTCAGCACTCGGCAGAGTCATGGCTAACACTGAATTGTACAGTGATTTGGTAGTGATTTATATTCAGGTATACATAATGTACAGTATATTAGGTATTGTATGTATAGTAGTGTATATCGTGATTGTCATATGCAAATATATTAGGTAACAATAGTTAGGTATATATTGAATGACAATTACAGGGATTGTATGATATTAGAGCCGAAAGGGGTGTATTGTGCGGGACAGGTATGTAAGGATCGGGTATCTGTAATACAGGGGTAACCGACGTGTATTCAAATGGCAATAACTGAATAGAAAGTAAACATTTTAAAACATTACCAAACTTTTTATTAAACATTTTAAATAACAAATACTGTATTAAAAGAACTATGAAATTACCTGACTATCCATATTATCGCCCCAAACATACACTTCACCAACAGATGTGAGGGCACAGACATGACTCTCTCCGCCAACGACTTTGATGACACCCTTTGCCTTCAATTCAGACAATTGTGTCATTTGTGTGATATTATTGACATTCATATGAAAGACCACATCATCTTTGGTCACAACAATCACTTCATTTCCTGTCTCTCCGTATATAATAAATGAATGGATGTTATGAACAAACTCTTCACTCATTTGACAAAATACCGGCCATTTATCTAATGAACTGATTGTCTGTCGCCTCTCAACTGATTTCAAGTCTTTATTAGAGGCCATATTATTATCCCTTTGTTTCAAATAAAAGTTTCAAAACATGATAATTATTTTTACATAAAATTAATATTCATTTTATTACGTATATTAAAACAGCAAAATATACAGTATTTAGTTTAAAACGTGATAAATGATAATACTCCTTATGACAAATTATTACATTTATTAAACTAACTAAATCACAACCCTTTAAATAATCTTAATAAATCAAGGTTAACAATAAATCATAAATTAGATATACTTCTTATATTTCATACATATTTATTTACATTTAATAAAATTTTTAGAAATTAACATAAACATCTAGGAATATCATTTTCAAAAATACATGTTATGTTATACAATGAGCGGTATACTATTTCTATGAATAATGTTAGCATAATTATTATCAATTTTATTTGAAACAGGATAATAATAGTATTAAACCGGGCTAATAATAAAGTGCTACAACAGCCACTCTTTAATAAATTACAATTTCTTATGATGATCGGTTAGAACTCAATGTTTGACATTTTTATGACCGGAAAATAGCGTAAAATTATGTTATTATAAAATGACCTCCACAGGCGCAACAAACGTTATGATGGTTTATTATATTTTACCTCTATCATTATTATAATATAACTTTTTTGACGCCAATTCCCAAGAAATTATTCTTATAATAAAAATTTCGCAATTTTAAATAAAAAATCAAAAATAAATAGAATAGTAGTAAATAAAATAATTAATAAATTTTTATTATTTTTTATATTAATTTTAAAAAAATTCTTTATATAAACAAGCTACAACATTTAAAAATTCACTATATATTGTAATTATAATAAACATAGATTTTACGTAATATAATTCATGAAACCAACACTTGTTATATCTGTACACAAATTAACATTCACTATAATTAACGACTAAAAGCCCCCTTTAGTGATGCCTTACGTATGAAATCCTTGTAAATATTTATATCCAAATCATTAAAAGTGTCTGTTTTGGACACATTTTCAAAATTTTTCACCGCATATTTGAAACATATATCCTGAAGCGTAGGCTCCTTGTGTTTAACGGCCGCCCCGTATATTAGGGACACATTTTCAACGGTTATGCCATTACTTATAAGTTGAGTACACTTTCGCTTGAGGTCTGTCTCGGCGTAAGTGTCGGCCAAACCTAATAACTCGACCGCAATATCCGGCGCCACAAACACATCGTTGGTATACAGATATCGCAGAAATGCTTTGAATGCCTCATAAGAATAGTCTGTAATCTATTTATATAAATAATAACACAAAATAAAAATCACTAAAATATTTAGCCATAAAACTGACCGTATTTTCTGAGTTATTGATTTCTAATAAAGCTCTGAGTGGTTCGCACCGTATAGTTAAATACTCTTTGTGGACATGTATGGGGTGGCCGTCGATCACAAACTTAAAACTACTGGTTATCCGATCGTCAAAGGCTTTGGCAATACTGTTGAGCACCGGGTGGTCGTCGGCGAGAGTCAGTGGTATCGAGCGATTAGTTGCTTGTGTTTTAGCAAACAATCCAAAGACGTCATACATTGAACCGCAAGTTTTCGCAACTAATGTTATATACATTTTATAAGTTAATTATAAATAGTTATATAATAATTATTTTGCTAAACAATTACCGGTCGGTGTATTCAAATCACCCACGGGTTGTCGACATTCGCCCCAAACATATAGCACTCCATTAGCCGTAACGGCCACTGAAATATCATTTGCTATTTGCGAAGTGATGTCAACAATAGGACCATGGTCATTGAATGTAGTCAATTTAACCGGGATATATCTATTAGGCCTATTACCGGTTCCTAATTGACCATGATTGTTATTACCGAACGTATAAACATTACCCTCATCCGATAAAATTACTGTATTAACATTTCCAGCCAAAACCTTGATCACTTTGATTTCATTGAAATAAGGTAATTGTACGGGAAATAATTGGTTGTCGTTGTGACCTAAGCCTAACTCTCCGCATACGTTACGACCCCTATTGGTATGCAAATAATAAAATTCAATTTACTAATCACTACTCTCTGCCATACCATCCAAACACACTCCCGGTGTCCGTAACGGCCAGTGAATGATAACCACCGCAAACAACGGATGTCACGTGACATCCAGCGAGACATCCCAGCACTTGAATAGGTGTCGATTGATTAGTAATATTGCCGTTTCCTAATTGACTGTTATTATTATAACCCCAGGCGTACACATGTCCGGCATCGGTCAGTACTAGGCTATGGTATTGACCGCATTCAATGTCAACAACTTTTTCATTATTAAAATTGTGGTTAAGTTTTAACGGATGCGGAGAGGGATCAGTAGTTCTCGTTCCCAACTGTAATCATAATATTATATTATTAGATAATAAGTCTTATAATATTATAATAATAAGTTTATATAAACTATTTTTATGTTTAATAACAATATCCTAAGACCTGGTTTCACTCATTCTGACATTAGAAATATATTAGCAAGTTTATATTGTTAGTTTAAACAATTATTTAATATTACTTTATAAACAACTATATGAAACTATTCTATCATTAGTATTATAGTCAAATAATGTTGAATATGTCCGGGAGTTGTGTACATACCTGGTAATATTGATTGTCACCCCACGTGTAGACATCACCGCCCGATGTGAGAGCACACAAGTGTTTAGCACCGGAAGTGATTTTGATGACACCCTTTGCCCTCAATTCAGACAATTCTGTCATTTGTGTGATATTATTGACATTCATATGAAAGACCACATCATCTTTGGTCACAACAATCACTTCATTCCCTGTCTCTCCGTATATAATGAATGAATGGATGCTATGAACAAACTCTTCTTTCAATAAACAAAATACTGGCCATTTGTCTAATGACACTAATTTCCGTCGTTTCTTAACTAAACGCAAGTCATTTGCGGCCATATCTACGATCTCTTTGTCTCAAAACAATATTTTAAAAATAAAACAATTATTTTCATACAAACACTCAAAATGTTATCAAAATATTTTCCTGGCGTAAGCTTTCTGTAATACTCATAATTATTATATTATTTTTAGTGGTATTATTAGTATCTATTTGTATTATTAGATAATAATATAATATATTGAAGTGTAAAATGCGATAAACATAATGATAATTATTGTGATAAATTATTAGTTAAACCAAAGACATTTAGCAAATCTAAGTAAACCTACGTTATTAATAAAAATAATAACACATTACAGTAGTTCAGTGTTATATTATTATAAAGTTACATTTACAACTTTACATATGGGCACCGGAACTAACATCTACTTTATCTTCACATTCATTCATAATATATTTTAATTTGAATAATCAAATTATTTAAGACATTGAATGCGGTCTAAACAATATTTCCCAAGTAAATGAATTACCTTTACAGATTCACAATTATTCATATATAAATTACAAAATGATTCTACATTAAAATTTATTATTATTCTGTATACAGTAATTAAGTTGTTGACACAGTAAGTAATACGCATATGATTATGATAGAAAATTAGTAATAATATAGTTTTGGAAATTAAAATTTTAATAAACATATTAATTGTTTAATTAATATACTGTATAATTAATTTTTAAGTGAAATATAAAAACTCATTATTAGGGAAACCGTAAGGATGCTTTTTAAAATAATTTTGAACACAATAATGACTATTACAACTATTTGTTCATTTTAAACTATTAGTTGTGCTATGATTCTCTGACTAATTCATGGTTTTTGTATAGTCTGCATATTATATGACTAATTTTTTGGTTTCCCTACTTATTATAATTAATACAATGCAAGGAATATTAATATACACTAGAATTCAATTGCTATTAACTTATAAGCAAATGATTTTTACTAACGCGAGCCTTCGGTCAAATCATTTTTGCGTTCAGTCTATTCATTATTACATCAGTGAGTGTTGTGTGGAAACAATACAGTCATTGAAACTGCGGCGACGATCCATTCGATTGTTGTCTCAGTGCTTCCAATACAACACTCATTGATGTAATAATGAATAGACTGAACGCAAAAATGATTTGACCGAAGGCTCGCGTTAGTAAAAATCATTTGCCTATAAGTTAATAGCAATTGATTTTTTCTGTAATATTTTTTACAAAATTTAAAGATTAAACATTTCCTGAATTATGTATTAATTGTAAAATCATTTGTGAAAATCAATAATAATTCCATAGTCAATAAAATCAATGTGTGCTCTATATTGTAGCTAACTAATTATTGATAACAATTTAATTACAAACAATTAAATCATTTACTGCTTGAAAGTCTGGCATTTGCTGTAAGACTGCTAGAGCAACCGCGGATTTTTTAAAACTATATATTAAAGTATATCGTCATTTATCTCTCTCTTTGAGTAACGCTAAAAGGCCTGTTAATAAGCAAATAAATTAAAGATTACACTTTAATATTTATGAAAGTCTGGCATTTGCTGTAAGACTGCTAGAGCAACCGCGGATTTTTTAAAACTATATATAAAGTATATCGTCATTTATCTCTCTCTTTGAGTAACGCTAAAAGGCCTGTTAATAAGCAAATAAATTAAAGATTACACTTTAATATTTATGAAAACAACCTAAAAAGCATCCAAAAAGCATCCGGGCGGTTGCCCTAAAGACTGCAAAGAAAATGAATGCGAATATTAATATCCAAATCATTGAAAGCCTTTGTTTTAAACACATCTTTAAAGTGTTTGACCGCATAATTGAAACAAATGTCCTGAAGTTCTAACACCGAGTGGTTAACAGCCGACCCGTATATAAGCGACACGTTTTCAACGGTAATGCCATTACTTAAAAGTCGAGTACACTTTTGTTTAAGGTTTGTCTCGGCGTAAATGTCGGCCAAACCTAATAACTCGACCGCAATATCCGGCGCCACAAACACATCGTTGGTATACAGATATCGCAGGAAAGCCTTGAATGCATCGTAAGAATAGTCTGTAATCTATTAACAATATAAAATAAAAATTTGTATGTTTTATGGTTAAGTATAATAAATATAAAACTGACCACAACTTCGGTTTGATTGGTGTCTAACAAACGTATCATTGGTTCCATACGTTTGCAGCGTATAATCAAATACTCTTTGATGACATGAATGGGCTGTCCGTCGATCACAAACCGGAAATTAGATGATATGGTATTGTCGAAGGCTTCAGACATACTATTGAGCACCGGGTGGTTGTCGTCGGCGATATTCATTGGTAACGAGCGATACGTTGCGTGTGTTTTGCCATACACACCAAACACATCATATATTGAGCCAAAATTCATAACAACTAATTGAGTATAAATTCAATAAATAATAAATAATTTTAAAAATATGTTTGCGATAGAAATGGTTAAACAATTACAAATAGGATTTAGCAAATCTCCGATCGGTTGCCGACATTCGCCCCATAAATACAGCACTCCATTAGCCGTAACGGTCGCTGAAATATTGCTGTTCATGTGTGAATCCACATCTACGATACAATAGGACCATGGTGGTTGATGTTTACTTTGAATGGATCACTCTTAGTTGTCTTATCACCGGTTCCTAATTGACCATGATTATTGAATCCAAATGTGCAAACACTACCATCAGATAATAATATTATTGTATGATACATTCCAGCACAAACTTTGACCACTTTCATGTCTTTGAAATATTGAATCTGAACGGGTAATGATTGGTCGGTTGTGGTACTCAAACCCAACTCTCCATTTCCATTGTAACCCCTTTTATTATGTAAACAATAAAAATAAGTTTTTAATTGTTAATCAATACTCTCTTTCATACCATCCAAACACACTCCCGGTGTCCGTAACGGCCAGCGAATGATATCTTCCGCAGGCAATGGATGTGACGCGACATCCGTTCAAAACTCCCATCACTTGAATAGGTGTCGATTGATTAATTGTATTGCCATTTCCTAATTGACTTTTATTATTATAACCCCAGGCGTACACATGTCCGGCATCGGTGAGCGCCAGTGTGTTGTGTAGACCGCATTCAATGTCAACAATCTTTTCATTATTTAAATTGAATGACATTTTCAACGGAATTGGAGATGAAGTAGTATTTCCGTTTCCCAACTGTATTTAAAATATAAATTATTAGGCATTATATACTGTATATTATACTAATTTAACATTATAATGTATTGAAATGTACTGTATAAACCAAACATTTTAAATAACAAATACTGTATTAAAAAAATTATAAAATTACTTGACTAATCGAATTATCGCCCCAAACATACACATCCCCACTGGATGTGAGAGCACACAAGTGTTTCCAACCGCTGCTTATTTTGATGACACTCTTTGCTTTCAATTCAGACAATTCAGTCATTTTTGTGATATTATTGACATTTATATGAAAGACCACATCATCTTTGGTCACAACAATCACTTCATTTCCTGTCTCTCCGTATATTATGAATGAACTGATGTTATGAACAAACTCTTCACTCATTTGACTAAAAACATTCCATTTGTCTGGAATAATAAAATAATGTTGATTTTCAACTGATCCCATGTCTGTATTTGTAGCCATCTTATTGTCTTTCTGTTCAATAGTTTTTAAACAAGTAAATTATTTTCATATAAACACTCGACATGTTATCAATCATTTGTTTAATACAGAAAATATATGCAGTATTTTAAGACAAAATATTGCGATAATTCTTGTGAGAAATCATTACTTATTATTTATTAGACTAACGACACGAATGCCATTTAAATAATCTAAGTTAACCATGGTTATTAACAAGTGAATCGTAAAACAGTTTTTTACCATACCTCAAATAATCACAATAATAAAAACTATTAAGATAGTTACTTAAATATTAATAGTTGGTTATATTTTGTAATTTCTCAATAAAAATAAAATAAATTACATTTTAACCCGAATGTCTGACCACAAAGTGTTGGACACAAACTCTCTTTTGCGGACTTCCCTTAATGTCATGTTTTGTTGTTAGTCATATGTTTGAAACTTTAGGTATAAAATTATTAAATTAATTGACAAAAAAGTAAATTATAATAAAAATTGCGCGCCTATTTAGTGACCAATATTAAATAACTACTGTATTTCATTAAAATAATTAATTTAATTAGTATGTTAATTATATTCGATTTTAACAGAATTCTATTTTGATACATGGTTTTAACAACAACAAAAACATGTTAAAATTGAATGCCTACTGCATGTCCCACGATACATTGAGTCGTCGTCGGCGATATTCATTGTTATGGAGCGATACGTCGCCTGTGTTTTGCCATACACTCCAAAGATATCATATATTGAGCCAAAATTCATAACAACTAATTTGGTATAAATTAAATAAATGGTAAATTATTTTAAAAATGTGTTTGCGTAAAAATGGTTAAACAATTACCAATAGGTGTCAGCAAATCTCCGATGGGTTCCCGACATTCGCCCCATAAATACAGCACTCCATTAGCCGTAACGGCCGCTGAAATATTGCTGTTCATGTGTGAAACCACATCAACAATAGGACCATGGTCAACGATGTTTACTTTGAATAAATCATTCCTATTAGATTTATCGCCCGTTCCTAATTGACCATGATTATTGAGTCCAAATGTGTAAACACAACCATCAGTTGATAATATTATTGTATGACAATTACCAGCAGAAACTTTGGCCACTTTCATGTCTTTGAAATATTGAACGGGCAATGATCGGCCGGTTGTGTCACTCAACCCCAACTCACCATGCCCATTGTCATGACTTACCAAGACCCTTTTATTATAAAACAATAAAAATAAGTTTGTAATTGTAAATCAATGCTTTCTGCCATACCATAAAAACACACTCCCGGTGTCCGTAACAGCCAGTGAATTATAACCGCAAGCAATGGATGTCACGTGACATCCTTTTAGACCACCCATTACTTGAATAAGTGTGGAGTGATTAGTGGTATTCAAATTACTCATATCATCATTGTTATTATAACCCCAGGTGTACACATGGCCGGCATCGGTCAACGCCAGTGTGTGGTTAAAACCGCATTCAATGTCAACAATCTTTTCATTATTTAAATTGAATGACATTTTCAACGGAAGACGAGATGGAGTAGTATTTCCGGTCCCCAACTGTACTCATAATATAAATTACTAAATATTTAATAAGTTTATTTTTGTTAGTATAGTAATTAATTATATAATGTACTGTATTGTATACTAATTTTAACATGATAATTTTTATAATTTACTGAATACGCAAAACATATTAAATAACAAATACTGGGTGTTAGATAATATATAGCAGTTTACGGATAGGTAGAGGTGCACCAATATAAGCATTATAGAGTCATTTTGTCAATTTAAAAATAACAAACAAACATTTAATTTAAACAAATTATACATTTTATTTTAATATTAATAAAAGAATAGGTTTATACATTCAACTGATTATATTATAGATATTTAATAACATTAAGTTTATTGTATTAAATTTTCAAAATGACCGCAATTAATTGAAATTAAATGGCGGAGTCTAAGAGTTTATTAATATTAAAATAAAATGTATAATTTGTTTAAATTAAATGTTTGTTTATTTTTAAATTGACAAAATGACTCCATAATGCTTATATTGGTGCACCTCTACCTGTCCGTAAACTGCTATATATTATCTAACACCCAGTACTGTATTATGAAAATACCTGACACAAAATATTATCGCCCCAATTATACACATAACCGGCAGATGTGAGGGCACAGACATGACTCACTCCGGCACTGATTTTGATGACACCCTTTGCCTTCAATTCAGACAATTCTGTCATTTCTGTAATATTATTGCCATTCATATGAAAGACCACATCATCTTTGGTCACAACAATCACTTCATTTCCTGTCTTTCCGTATATAATAAATAAACGGATGTTTTGCACAAACTGTTCGCTCATTAAACAAAATACTGGCCATTTGTCTGTAGAAATAAAATGCTGTTGACTTTCAACTGATCCCATGTCTGTATTTGTGACCAGTTATGTCTTTCTGTTTACTATTTTCAAAACACTTAAAATAATTTTATATAAACACTCGACATGTTATCAATCATTTGTTGCAAAAATATATGCAGTGTTTTAAAGCAAAATATTGCAATAAATTTTGTGATAAAACATTATTTATTATTTATTAAACTAACTACACGAATGACATTTAAATACTCTCAGTTAACCATGGTTATTAACAGATAAGTAGTCAAACAGTTTTTAATCATCAATCAAATAATTACAATAATAAAAACTATTAAAATAGTTACTTTAATATAATAACCAGATACTATTAGATATAGTTGATTATATGTTGTAATTTCTCAATATTATAAAATAAATTAAACCCTTATGTCTTGAATCGGTTTAAACTGACCACAAGTGTTAAACACAGCGTCTCTGATACGGACTTCCCTTACTATACCATTGAGAGATGTAAAGGCAAAACACAATTGATTGATAACAATAAATAAAACAAATTAACATTGCATTTATTAATTTTATAAATTTAAAAAACTTATTTTCTAATTATTAAATTAATAATTGAGCACTATTATATAATGATAAGCAATTAATTATAATTCAAAACATTACACATTAATTTATTAATTATCAAACAATAATCCTAACCTTCAAATTACTAATAATTATTAATAATTTATTTACAATAATTAATAAATATTCAATTGTTGTGAAAATAGTTAGAAATATATAATGTTTTTAATTAAATTACATTTTAATGTAGGCCAGTGTGTCTGAAATCAAACTAATAATGATCATAATTGGAAAAAAATTCTTATATATTTTGTTAAAATAAATATTAACATAATTAGTAACTTCTTAATGTCAATAATAATTTAATAATCAATTTACTTTAATTTTTTATTATTCTGCATACAGTAATTAAGTTTTTAACAGTAATATAAAAATGATTATGATCGAAATTTAGTAATTATTATTATTAATAAGTTATCATAACATTAATATATTTGTAATATATAAATTTTAATTTGGTAAAAATAATGTTTACTTACTTACATGTAATTAGTAGTTATGTATAATTAGAAGATTATAATTTATAATTACTACAGTGAATGGAATTTTAATTTAATTTAATTTATCATATAAATCACTGAAATTAACAACTAAACATTATTTTACTTATGCCGTAAGTAAATTTATAAACTAAAGTAATTAAGTTGTTGATACAGTAATGCTTATACTTAAGATTATTGCTAGCCAACGTGGTATACCGGGTATACTTAGTGTTAGCCACATGTTCAACTAAAATATATAACATAAATATATCCATAATTAATTGATTAAATTGACAATTGACAGACATTTTACATTATAATTAAATATAATTATATTTAATATAAGGGGCACAACGTGTTAACAAATTTTGTAACATTTGTTTGTAATTTTGTAAAGTTCACATAAAG